AGCGAAAATTATTAGATCATATTTTCATCTAATTATTTTGTATCGTTTAATTACAACTTCTTCACTTTAGGTTAATGGTAAACTTACGCAAGGTGAAAATATAGCTGACAATGGTGGCGTTAAAGAAGCTTACAGGGTACGTCTTAGACATTCATAATTGTGAGAAACGAAAAAAAAAATTATTCAATCAATAATAGTGATTGATAAATGCATTAATTTTATAGCTGTGACAAACAGAATCGCATTGTCACATGCTAGGTTAGTAGCAGTGTAATCTATAATTGATTTTTCCTTTTTTAATTATGTAATAGATGTTCTCCATTTTATCAAATTTAATCTATCAAGATATCAAATTTAATCATTGTCATGAAAGTGATACAATTAGGATTGCGTGTAAATATCCTCTGTGATTTCATGCATGCACATAGATGAGGTATTTTTTTTCCTTTTATTTTGATATGAGTAAATGATACAATATTTCAGGCTTACAGAAAATATATAAACCAATTGGGGCACGAAGAACCGCATTTACCAGGTTTCCAAAATTTCTCCAGTGATCAGGTGTTCTTCTTATCTTACGCTCACGTATGTTTCTGACATTTGTCATCATAATTTCTTTCATCCTGGTTATACTAAAATATGCAAGATTATGCAACAATATTGGTCGTGGGTTTTACGGAAACATTTTCATTTTTTAGTTTTGGTGCGGACATAAGAAGGAGGCAGCAGCACTGCAACAAGTACTTATTGATGAACATAGTCCTGAGATATTCCGGGTTATCGGAGTGTTATCAAATTTACCCGAATTCAGTAAAGCCTATAGTTGTCCACAGGGTAGCCCACTGAATCCATTAAAGCGTTGCACAGTTTGGTAAACAATAATGATGATAACGACAACAACAATACTATTAGAATAACAAACGACAATTGAACAAGCGGGTACGGTAATAAATGCATGAATAACAACGAAAAATTGTTACGATAGTAAGAAGAGTTGCAACATTAACAACGGTAATCCTACAGGACAATGAAATTGTAAACTTGTATAATTGAAAATATTAATATTAACAGTAATTATAAAATTATCAGTAAGTGCTAATGATATTATTACTTGAACGAATATCTATTTATACGATCTCATTCAGAATTGTCTCATGAAAATAACCATTGTTTAGAATTTTGCGGAACTTTTGTAATTGTTAAGATGAAATGCCAAATGAAACAAAAAATGCTGAAAGATTTGAGCGTATTTCTCTTATAATTATTATGCCATTTACATAAGGTATGATTGTTACTTAGTTACTTTAAGAAGTGTTTTATAAAATAAACTCTTAAGTAAACATTACCAAATCACGATGATTTTTACAATAACGATTCAATTGATTAGAATGCTTCTTCTGCTGGATTACTGGTCACAGGAGACAATTGTTTCCCTTTTTTTCTATCTCTATTTGTTAATATGAACTTTAAACTTAGGATCATAAAAAGACAAAACAGAGTATTATTGTATGAACTTGAACTTTGACCTACTAAGGGCCTACTTTGATTGCTTACGTAAAAATCAAAATCGATTACGATGATAGAAAGTAAATTATACTTCTAATGTATTTGTTATTAAATTATGTGATGTGAAAAATTGTAAAATTAAGCACAATTGCGCTAATTCAATTCTTGTTTTATAAATTATTTAATTTAATGAATTTATATAAATTGTTGCATGTATTAAAGTTGGAAAATCACAATTTCATTGTTGAATTCTCCTTATCAATAATAATTTTTGTAATTGTATCCTTCAAATTGTTAAAGCTGACAACATGAGAAAATGCTACGATACTAATAACTGAACAGAATAAAATGCTAATAATAATTCTTGATTAATTAGATGTATAATTTCAAGTTTTATTGTCATTAATGTTTTATTTTAATAATAAGGAATTCATGAATTTGGTCAGTATATGTAAATATTTAACTCAATGCTTATTTAATATTGCCGTCTTTTGCAATGATTACCGTGGACTGAGATATTAGATTTGCAATTTATAAGTACGAGGAATAATTGTTTAGTTGACCAATTAATTAATAGCAATTATGGTTCAAGGAAAAAACTTAACCAAATATGAAATTATATTTCCATTATTGAAATAACTGAATACATCGATAGAAATCTAACGTTTCTACAACATGTTTCAGTTATCATTTCTTTATGCACACTACTACAACGAGTCTCAATGCAAATATTATTGCTTTAATGTTGGCATATTGTCAGAAAAAACCGAATTTTTTCTTTTTAATAAAAATGTTGAAATATACTATAAGTGCTTTTGTAGTACAAATATTTTTTTGGAATAGCTAATGTAGATTGATGTGACAATATAATTTATTATGTGAAAATTCTATTAATTTGAATATATTCTCAGACTAAATGATATATTATACCAAGAAAATAATAATAATAATAATAATAATAATAATAATAATAATAATAATAATAATAATAATAATAATAATAATAATAATAATAATAATAATAATAATAATAATAATAATAATAATAATAATAATAATAATAATAATAATAATAATAATAATAATAATAATAATAATAATAATAATAATAATAATAATAATAATAATAATAATAATAATAATAATAATAATAATAATAATAATAATAATAATAATAATAAT